AAACCCTCAAAACAATAAAGGAAAAGACAATACAGGTAAAACAAAACAAAATAATATACAACAACAGACCAAGCAAGGAAACATATATACTGCACCCATGATGGCACAAATTACAGCATACCAAGGACCTCACCAATACTTGGGCTTTCCACCAGTCAAACAAGAACGAACATGGACAAATCAAGAAAAATTACAGACAGCAAATAACAATCAGACCAATGGCAGAATGAATAACCGGAACCAAAAGACACAAGGTTACAGTCAAGGTCAACAAGTACCGACATCGAATGGTGTGGAAACAAGATGGAATTTGCATTCACTGATACCATTTCAAAATAATCAAACAGATAATATAATGAATAATGATAATCAAACCGACAGACAAAACCGAGAGCCATGCAAATGCCGCCAGGGTGTTCATAACTACCGACAATGTCCAAAGTATCCTTGTTTCTTCTGTTACCAACCAGGTCATTATGCAGCATCCTGCCCAAAACGAGAATCTTTATTCCCAAAAATAGGACCGAAAATAAGACAGACGCACTGCCAAGTTTGTAAAAATATAGGTTCGCCCTTTGAATTTTGCAAATTTTGCCAACATATTCGCTCTGAATTGTTGGGAAACGCACTTGGTGGGGAGCAGACGAGTCCACTGCTTCTCCCCGATTTCCAATAATAGGCCAACATGACCACACAGGGGAAATAGCCATGAAAATAGCCTCCCATATAGAAATTGATACAGACTCGGAAGAAAATACTTGCCCAATATGGGAAATATCATCAGGTGACGATAAAGGGATAAATGACCAGACATCAGATGAAGATGAAAACTTTACCGACAAACATACCACTCCGATAAATGGACAGGAACTACCTGGATTGATGAAGAACAACTCAATAAGTTGCTAAAACGCCTTAAGGATTAAGAAACGTTACTATTCGACATGAATGGGGAGACGCAAAAAAGTGAACAGTTGGTAGAAAACCTAGCATTTCCACCAGCTAAACAAGTGACATTAACAAACGACATTGACAATCAGATCCCAGCAGTAACAGACCAAATAATAAGGATCCCAGACAAAATAGATACTGTCATATCTGAAATACAACCTAAAGGAACGCATACAGGAATGTCTAAAGGAATGTTAAAAACCGTTAAATTTCTAGACAATGAAGAGATGATACAAACAAAAGATGAAGAACTGACAATACCCGCACAATCAGACCTACAAACAGCTAAGGAACCTGATAAAAGACAACAGGAAGCTGTAGATGAGGATAAAGACAAAAACATGACAGTGATATTAACCGCACCCCCACAATCGATAGGAGGATTAAACTCAGACAGTAGGTGTTTCATACCGATTATTATTGGTAATATAGCATATGACGCCTTAGTTGACTCAGGAGCGGAACTCTCACTGGTAGGACCGGAAATAATAGACAGATTCAAAGAAAGACTAACTCCTAGTTCCACTACGATACAAGGAATTACGGGAAAAACCGAGAAAACTATAGGCGAACTTCCCCTATAAATTAATTTTGACGGACATACACAGAAATTCAGATTTAAAGCAATGAAAAACCTGCCTACACCGCCAATTATCTTAGGTCTAGACTTTTTGACACAATGGAATATGTTCATACTCTTTCGAGAAAGGAAATGGAGAGTACATAATGGTAAATGGCATCACCTACAACCTAGACATCTGACACAACGAGAAGCTTTCTATGCAGAATGCGCTGGCCTCGCAGAAATTACATCTGACCAAACTAAACAAATAAAAGAAATAGCAGATCGTTTAATAACACCCATGACTGACAAACTAGGAAGAACACCGGTAGTAAAACACATAATAGATGTAGGTGATAGCCAACCAATAAGACAAGGATTACGACGAATGTCACCCGCAATACAAAAAATAGTACGAACTGAAATACGGAAAATGTACGAAATGGGCATTATCCGACCGTCCAAAAGTGCATGGCGTAGCGCACCAGTGATGATAAGAAAACCTGACGGTTCCTGGAGATTTTGCAATGATTTTCGCGACTTAAATAAGGTCACAAGGAAAGATACATATCCAATACCTAACATGGATTCAATACTAGACAAATTACGACACGCCAAATATATTAGTAAAATTGACCTTAAACAGGCCTATTTCCAAGTAGCCCTAGATAAAAACAGCTGCGAATATACAGCTTTTGTAAGCCCAAGTGAAGGATTGTGGGAGTTCATAGTTATGCCATTCGGACTCGTCAATGCCCCAGCGACCTTTCAACCATTAGCTGACGCATTATTTGGTCCTGACTGGGAACCTCAAGTATTTCCCTACCTTGACGACATAATCATAGCAACTGAGACCTTCGATGAACATACAAAATATTTAAAGTTAGTACTATGCCGAATTAATGAAGCAGGACTGCAAATAAATGCGAAGAAATAGGAAATTCGGCTGCACTCGTCTAAACTATCTAGGTTTTATGCTAGACCAAGAAGGATTACGACCTGAGCCAGACCGGAGTAAAACAGTACTAGAATTTCCAGTACCTAAACCGGTAAAACAACTACGTAGTTTCCTGGGAATGGTTGAATGGTACTCGAGATTCATAAAGAATTGTTTGGAAATAAAGGTACCGTTACAAAAACTTCTAAAGAAACATCAAGTATTCAACTGGGAAACTGGCCAACAAGAAGAATTTGACAAGCTGAAACGAACATTAACAGAAGCTCCAGTATTAGCAAGACCAGACTTTGCCCGACCATTCACGGTTCAGACAGACACAAGCGATTTTGCAATTGGTGCCGTATTGACTCAAAACTTTGATGATGGCGAGCACCCAATAGCATACATTAGCAGAACACTGACCGCACCAGAAAGAAATTACTCGGTGACAGAAAAAGAATTACTGTCAATAGTATATACCATAAAGAAACTAAGACCATACCTTGAAGGATATGACTATATAATTATTACTGACCACTCAGCACTGATATACCTGTTTAACATTAAAGAACCAAAAGGTAGATTAGGAAGATGGATATGCCTGATGCAAGAACGCGTGACCTTTAAACACCGTAAAGGTACGATGCATAAAGTACCTGATGCCCTGTCACGAATAGACGAAGAGGCTAACAAAATCGCAGCCTTCAGCACAGTACAACACAACTGGTACCTGAAAAAACGTAGAGACGTAAAAGAAAAACCAGATAATTACCCAAAATTTTCTATTTGGAAATTTTCTATTTTTCTTTTTGGACTGGAAAATCGGAGACAATATGCTATATTATAACAGACCAGACCCGATTATGGACCCGTTAACAAATGGAGAAACGGAATGGAAACTAGTAGTACCTGACGAATAACAAATGGAAATCATGAAAAATGCACACTGCCTCCCTGTAGCGGGACATCTGGGTATAGAAAAAGGGTATAGAGAATTAGTATCGAATATTACTGGCGAGGAATGTATACTGACACTTACAACTTCGTCACAAGATCTCCGCTATGTCAAAGATATATGAGGTGTGATCAAAAAGTAAGGTGAATTTTTATTTTTCTCAAAAAATATTTATTTATTCATCAATTTTTATTTTATCTCCGTCAAAGTAATCCCCCTCGGATATAATGCACTTGTGCCAACGCTTTTTCCATTCCTCAAAGCATTTCAAAAAATCATTTTTTGTGATCTTGTTTAGTTCATCCTTCGATGCCGTCTTTATCTCCTCAATCGTGGCCAAACGCCGTCCTTTCATGGGCCTCTTCAGTTTTGGGAACAAGAAGAAGTCACAGGGGGACAGATCTGGGGAATACAGTGCCTGTGGCATCGTTACTGTGTTGGTTTTAGCCAAAAATTCGCGCACAAGCAACGATGTGTGAGCAGGGGCGTTATTATGGTGCAAAAGCCAATTTTTATTTTTCCACAAATTTGGACGTTTCTGGCGGATTGCTTCGCGCAAATTGCGCATAACTTGCAGGTAATATTTCTTATTTACTGTTCTACCCTGTGGCAAGAACTCATGATGCACCACGCCCCTGCAGTCAAAGAAAACTGTAAGCAAAACCTTTACATTTGATCGAACTTGGCGTGCTTTTTTTGGTCTTGGTGATCCAGAATGCCTCCACTGGGACGATTGAGTCTTAGTCTCGACGTCATAACCGTATACCCATGTTTCGTCACCTGTTATAACCCTGTTGAGTAAATCTGGATCATCGTTGACGTCATTCAGTAGCTCTTGGGCGATGCTCATGCGACGTTTCTTTTGGTCGAAATTGAGCAATTTCGGAACAAACTTCGCTGACACACGTCTCATGTCTAAAACACTCGTCAAAATTGATTGGCACGAACGAAATGAGATGCCAATATCATCAGCAATTTCTCTAATGGTAATTCGACGATTTCCCAACACTATTTTCTTCACTTCTTCAACATTTTCATCAGTTATTGATGTGCTGGGGCGTCCAGAACGAGGATCGTCGTCGGTGTCTTCTCGACCTTCTTGGAAGAGTTTATACCACTTGTAAACATTTTTTTGGCTTAAAGTAGACTCACCGTATGCCACTTTCAGCATTTCAAGTGTTTTGGAACATTTGATTCCATTTTTCACACAAAATTTAATGCAAACTCTTTGATCCATGTTTTTAGACAGCAGCAAATCGTGGAGCACGCAAAACACTTCTAACCTTTATGCCTCTCACAAACAAACCAAACATACTACAAAGCTGAAATTTGGAACGTATGTTCTAGACGAGTGTACCGACATAACCAAATAAAAAAGTCGAAGATCTACGTAGCCCGCTAAATTTCAAAATTCACCTTACTTTTTGATCACACCTCGTAAAACCAGCCAACTAGGTCAAGAGGGCCTTATGAAACGACGAAAAAAAGACCGACCATGGACAATAGTAGCAGTTGACACTATGGAATTTCCTCGAAGAAAAACACAGAATAAATACCTCTTATTTTTCCAAGATCTCTTCACACGTTGGATAGAAATGAAACCAGTACGCTCTGCAGACGGAAAGATCGTTGCGAGAGCATTAGAAGAACTCATCATATTCAGATGGGAAACACCTGACTACTTACTGACCGATAATGGGAAAGAATACGTTAATAAACACTTAGACAGCATGTTACAGGAATATGGCATCAAACACAACACGACGGTACCATATCATCCACAAGCCAACCCCGTCGAAAGAAGTAATAGATCGACACTGAAACCAGAAAATTGGACTGAAAGGCTGAAAAAATTAAAATACCTACATGAAATAGTTAAAAGGAACCTAGAGAAAACACATGAGAAAATGGCTGACCATATCAATATAGGGAGAAAGTTGACCGAATATAAAACCGGTGACCTAGTATTGATAAAAACGCATCACCTATCGAATGCAGCAAATAAATTCTCGACCAAATTAGGCGAAAAATATGAAGGACCTTTCAAATTGCTAGATAAACTCTTAAACACAGTATTTACCATCGAGACACTGACGAAGAAAAAAGTTGGCAAAGTTCATATTGAACAGTTAAAAAAATTTAAGAGCCCTGACAAAAATAACTATGACCTTAGATCAAACAAAGACCAAACTAAAGAAAAAGAAGATAGATAACCTGACCAATCTAACCATATTCTGTATTGTCCGACTCATGGGGTTTAACTTGCGTACTAACACGGCTGCAGCGTGGGGAATAATTACGCGAACATTGGTGACTGACCTCCATAAGTGCTGTCCTACGTCTGGACAGGCTAGCCTCTCCAGGCTAAGTAGGGGGCTGTAGTCGTTGACTAAGCTACACCTCTCGCCCTACCAGCAGATAAATGCATGCACTGTGCTGTCCTGACATCGACCAAAAGACCTTCGCATTAACCTGACTTATTTTCAGATCTACAATGGCCCCAAGGATCCTCGTCACGTCAAAGAAGGGCCTGAGCCTGACGGTGAAGATCCCGCTGTCCATAGTCCCCAGAACCATCACGGGGACCAGGAAGCGGGAGACCAGACCAGCTCAGGCCCCGGAACCCGACCGCTATGAGAAGAGCCTTCGCCTGCAGGCACTCGCCACCATGCCTGGGTACCAGGAAAGGGTAAGGGCTCAGCCCACCATCTAGCCCCGCCCAACACAGAAGACCCGTCAGCCTGGTATATCCAGGACATGGTCGAGGAAATCAAGCAGAAGGTACGCCTGGAGGCCATGGAAGTGGCGGAAGGGGAACTGGGCTGGGCCCTCACGTTCCAGACCCGTGTTCCCTAGGCGGACTGGAGGGGTGAGGAACGCCAGCGGATGGAGATAGTCCGTGCCATCCGGGAGGAGATGACGATGGCGGTTGACCAGGTGGACGGCGGAACAGCTATGATTTTGTCCGAACATGGGACCTCCAAATCCCATTGTTCGGACACCTCAAAGGGGACCGAGCTGTCCCTAGACGGGCAAGCGAAGAAAGAGCTGAAGGATTACCTGGGCACGGGTGCGGAATCAGTACCAGCTGGAAAGCGGGAGACCACTAACCCCCAACCAGCTGGACCATCAACTCCGACTCCCACACTCCGTCGTCCAGGGACAGCAAAACCATCCGCCTCCATCATCTCCGCCACCACAGCCCGTCAGACGCACCACCACCACCATCGCTCAGCTGCCGACCGCCGCCACCAACCGACCAACTACCGCCGCAACCACCGCTTAGCCACCGACCGCCACCACCAACCGACCACTAACCACCGCCGCAACCACCGCTGCCACCATCACACAACCAACCGCCACCACCGTCCAGCCATCGGCCACAGGGAGTCGAGGTCACCCAGGCTGCTTGCCTGTGATGTCGACTCCAATTGGTCGGACCACCACCACCCGGCCAATAACAACACCCAGGATGGATCCCGTCGACCATCCAGAGGTCCAGGGTCTGCACTACCGGACGGCCAGCGGCAAGCGTCGCAAATACAATCCGCGGCGCCACCTGCAGCTGGACGACCTGGTGGGTGCAGGGGATTCCTCCTCCGAGGGGTCAAAGGACGACCTACCTGGACCTCCGACCAGCCGCGCAGCAACACGATCAGCTGCTGCGGCTAAGATGCCATCCTGGGGTCGACTCCTTCACCGGACCGGAGCTGGGTTCGGGCAACTAAGGGAGATCCCGACCGACCCGACGGTTAACCCCCCCCCCCCTCCGAGCATGTTTCAACTGCTGGCAAACCAACCACTGCCCCCGCCCCAAAGAGGGACAGTTCTGCGGAAATTGTGGCCGGCGGGGGGTCGAGGTTTTCGACTGCCCGAGGTGTGCCGAGACATACCACCGCCGACACGGCCCTTCGGACTCGAACAACCCGGTGGGGAACACCATCTCTCCACCGAGAACTCCACCGACCACCAGCCGCCGGAGTAGGTGGGATGAGGTGAACAGACCAGCGTCTACTTCTTCCGGGTCCGGTTGGGACCGAAACTCAACACAAGAGCCCCGTCGCCAAGATCAGGCAGGAGGGGGGGTTCTGGAATGCGGTACATTACAAGACCTTTCCTAAGTGCTGCATTAATTGCAACACCTTAGGAAAGCCATTTCCGCCCCTTGCCGCCTCGTAATCAGTTGCACAAAATAAAAACAAACGCACCCTATAAGAAACAATTACCCTTTTTCATGCCTGAACAACCACACCGGAGATATTGGCGAAACAAACTCTTGAAATCGATCCGACGGACACACAAAAGAAAAAAAAAGGAGCGCACCACGGACTAAGAGAGCGCACGCACACACTCACGACCACGTGTTGCCGACCGGCGAAGGAAACACGGAAACTTCACTGGGAAATGCAACGAAAATGCATGTTGATGACACATGCAGATCCGTTACACTCCCAGGCATTAACACTGACACTCACGAAACACTGAAACACCTGGGGCGAGCAGAAAATCGCCGATGAAGTGGCAGCTGGCAATCAGCTGTGTCGGACTGCCGAACACCATCGGCGACATCCTGAGCGCCACACACACTCACAACGGTGACCATACATATACACCCGGGAACACGTAACTTGACCGACACTGGAGCGCCCCAGGAGACGCTCCAACGACCGTTACGGGAACACGAGGTGTACACGCGAGAGACCGAGTGGCCATTTTGAAGTCCCGAAACAAACTGAGACAGAGCGAGTGAGATAGACTAAATAAGAGCGAGCGAGATAGACTGAGAGCGAGCGAGCGAGACCGAGCGAGCGAAATAGACTAAACAAGAGCTAGCGAGATAGATTATATGAAATGATGAATAGAATTATATGTAAATGCGAAGATGGAGACGCTACAATTGAGACGATGTACATTATATATATATTCACAATGAACTAAAATTATAATTAAAAATGAACATGAAAGAAATACCGAATTATAAAAACTCGCATGCGACCAACACACCCCCTATTATAATAGCGAGCGACAAATACCCCGTTAAATTTAATCGATAAATTAACCGACAGAATTCGAACCTCTGACGAAATTCGCTGGTGACGTCACGACCAACGAGCGAATTAGAATAAAATTTGATTTCCGTCCGGATAGAAAAGTAGATAAGAGTAGGGGTAGATCTTTCCCATCAATTAATGCTAGCTAACTTAGTGGGGGGTGAGAGAGGGTAAATAACGAAGAAAATAGGAGAGTCAAGGAGGGCGCTGTATCTTTCTAATTTACATAGGGACCAATGATAAAATATTCGGTGGGCGCTCCCGATCTCCGAATTAGCATACCGACCAATAATAATATTTCTTCTCGGAAAGAGGAGAAGAAAGCGATCTTTGACCGCGAAAAGCCGATTCTCCTCCATTTTGCCGTTGTTCTTCGAGCCAGAAGGAGTGCCTGTGCCAGATACTCTTGTTTCGCATGATTAATTGCGCTAACCACCTTGTTTTTTCACGCTAATTTCGTTCGCGAATCTCAGCAGGAAAAACCGAAAGTAGGCAAAATGCCACTCATTAGTATTAATCGCGGAGTGCAGGAGTGGATTTTTCGGTGTAATAGGTTGTTGCGACGCGTGGATCCGTCGATACCGCTGACCTTTCACCAAATTATTAGTTATTGCGAGTATTAGGATCAGACAAAGGGAATCCATGATTTAGTTATTCGCGTTGACCTTTCGCCAAGATTAGCTATTGCGAGTGTTAGGATCAGACGAATTAAAATCAGTGATTAAGTTATTCGCGTTGACCTTTCGCCAAGATATTAGCTATTGCAAATGTTAGGCTTAGACGTGTAAAATCAATTATCCAATTATTCGCGCTGACCGTTCCGCCATTTTCCCCAATCAAAGACCGACCGGGAGGGAATATTTGCATTTCTACTATTTTGTGTCCTTGCTATTTCATATAATTATGCAGAATCATACTGACCCTAATTAATCCGACCACGTGCTTATGAATTACGAAATAAGTCAATAAAAGTGATTAATTGTTTTTTATATAAATTTTTACTTTTGCTACCCTGCCTTATTTGAATGCTGATTATTTTCAGCCGTGAGCGGTTATAATCGGGTAAAGATGATTGGTTATATTTTCGGTTCCCTCTATAGGTAACATACGCACGAATTCGGACTTCCGACCTGAAACAAGGAGTCATCATCTGAGCTGCCGGCATACCATAAACGAGGAGACAAAGAGGAATCGAATTGTAGGACACCGAGGCCTGGAGCAGAGGAGATCGCGAATACCCATTCGTTTGCCCACCCTGAGCAATCGCCGTGATAGCAAACCGGGATACGCGACGACCTTTAGGTTATTTTTTTAGGCCCTATCCCTGACGATCGCCTTAGTTAGACGGCGGTCTGGTGTCCTAAATAACCGGGGGTATAGAGCCAATCAGGCCTTGTGGCGGAAGAGATTCGGTAGCGCAGTTATGACTTCCGAAATCCCCCGCCACAATTGTCAATTGTCAAGTTTGTCAAAGCTTGGAAATATTTCCCTGACTCGTCTTCCGTTATTTCCGCGTTTGATTCAATTATTGGCTCAAATTTATTTTTAAATTGTACTAGTTCGTCAATACGATTTACTGCGACTAAAATTTCTTTTGGACTTATATTACGTTTTATTAATTCTTCTACAACGAGTAGTAAAAGTGGATCTTGACATGAATTCCTTATTAATTGTTCATTTATATAATGTTCTAAAATTTTTATTGATTTTTCTAGTTGTTGTTTTTTGCCTTCTGATTCGAAACCTAAATCTTGACGAGCGTGCAGAAATTTTATACATTCTAGTAATGTTGGTTCTCTACTAGTTATAAAATTTGGATCTACTATGCAGTTTCTTAATACTAATAGTGCTTCCTCATTTCGTTTGTCTCTCAAATCGGCTCCCGTAGCCATGTTTGTAAAAAAAAAATTTACTCTTGCCTAATCCTGCTTTTCGTTAAAAAAATTTACCCGGAGGGGTCCCCAGTTGTTACGTCTCACCTAACGGCCGCGAATTGACAAGAATTACTCAAACGCGATTGTCTCTTTTCGGTCAACGCATAAGCGCTTTACCACGGGTGCGAGACTCAAACGAAAGCAGGGCGGCAACGTATCTAAAGTACCGAGTGAATAAGTAATAATTAAATAATTTACCTGCAGTTTAACTGGTCCAGAAACTCGTAC